TTTTTTTAACGTTTATTTTTTTGGGACAGAGAGAGACAGAGCATGAACGGGGGAGGGGCAGAGAGAGAGGGAGACACAGAATCGGAAACAGGCTCCAGGCTCTGAGCCATCAGCCCAGAGCCCGACGCGGGGCTCGAACTCACGGACCGCGAGATTGTGACCTGGCTGAAGTCGGACGCTTAACCGACTGCGCCACCCAGGCGCCCCTGTTTTTATTTATTTTTGAGAGAGAGTGCGTGCGTGCGCATGCATGAGTTGGGGAGGGGCAGAGAAAGAGGGAGACACAGAATCCAAAGCAGGCTCCAGGCTCTGAGCTGTCAGGACAGAGCCCGACGCAGGGTTTGAACTCATGAACTGCGAGATCATGACCTGGGCCAAAGCCAGCCACTCAACCGACTGAGCCACCCAGGCATCTTTCTGTTTGTAAGATTTTTAAAGAAGTTAGATTCCTGTATATCCAAAAGAAATAAAAACACTATGTTGAAGAAATACTTGCACTCCCATGTTCATTGCAGCATTATTCACAATAGCCAAGACGTGGAAACAAACTAAGTGCCTATCAAGATGAATGGATAAAGAAGTTGTGGTATATATGCACCATGGAATATATTCAGCTGTAAAAAGAGAAAATCCTGCCATTTGTACAACATTGACAGATCTCAAGGCATTATGCTAAGTGGAGTAGTCATACAGAGAAAGACAAATACATACTGTATGGTCTCCCTTATATGTGGAATCTAAAAAAAAAAAGCCAACAACCACACAGTAAAGACCCCTTCCTCCCAAAGAAACCTCCTCTCTCCTACTCCTAGAAAAAGAGACTAGATTTGTGGTTACTGGAGGCAGGTGAGAGAGGAGAGGGAATTGAAAGAAAGTTTTCATAAGGTACAGAATTCCAGTTATGAATAAGTACTAGGGATATATGTACAACATGATGACAATATAGTTAACATTGAAGCATGACATATAGGAAAGCTGTTAAGCGAGTAAATCCTAAGTGTTCTCACAGAAAAAAATTTTTCCTTTTTTTTTTTATATCTATATGAGGTGTGATGGGTATTAACTTACTGTAATCATTTTACAATATATGTAAGTCAAATCACTATACTGTACACCTTAAACTTAGTGATGTATATCAATTATATCTCAATAAAACTGGAAGAAAAAAAAGTGTAGGCTCCCAGAAGTGGACAATGTTAGTAGATTAAAGAATGTGAACATTTTTAAGGATTTTGATCATATCTGCTGCCAAATTGTTTTTCAAAAGCCAAACTTACGAAGTTAAGCCAGTGTATCTGAATCTTTGCTTCACTGTATCCTGGCTAGTGTTGCATATCGTTTAAGATCTATATATAAAAGTTTTAATGAACTTGGCACAATGCTTTGGCTGGAGTAGCAGGTCCAGCTGATGGATGCTCTTCTTTGAAGTGTTTGTTTCTGGATTGATGGTAAATGCAGTAGCTTCTGGGTCAGGGCTGAGGCAAGGTAAGGGGGGTGGGGGGACAATGATGAGAAAGTCAATTCATTACTGCTTTATAAAAAATATTTTTGAAGCAATCTTAAACTTAGAGGAAGGTTATAAATACAATACAAAGACTTTTTACTCTTGAACTATTTGGGAATAAATTAATGGTATTCATTGCCCCCAGATACTTTAGTGCATATTTCCTGTAAACAAAGATATTCTCCTATCTAGTCACAATATAACCGTGAATCATGAAATTAACATTGATACATCATTACCATCTAAACTCAGATCTTATGTTTTACTAAATAATATCTGTTATAGAAAGACATGTCGAAAATCGTGTTACTTTTATATCAATTTGGAATCGTTTCCCACTCTTGATTTTCATGATCTTGATGCTTTTGGAGGGTACAAACCAGTTATTTTATAGAATGCTCCTCAATTCTGGTTTGCCTGATTTTTTTTTTTTTCTGAATTGCATTCAGGTTATACCTCTGACAGAAATATCAAATATGTGCTCTATTCTTTTTTTTTGTTTTATATGTTTTATTTTTTTAATTTACATCCAAATTAGTGTATAGTTCAACAATGATTTCAGGAGTAGATTCCTTAGTGCCCTTACCCATTTAGCCTCCCCTCCAGCCCTCCAGTAACCCTCTGTTTTGTTCTCCATGAGTCTCTTCTGTTTGTCCCCTCCTGTTTTATATTATTTTTGTTTCCCTTCCCTTATGTTCATCTGTTTTGTCTTTTAAAGTCCTCATATGAATGAAGTCATGATATTTGTCTTTCTCTAATTTCACTTAGCATAATACCCTCCATTTCCATCCACATATTTTAAAATGGCAAGATTTCATTCTTTTTTGATTACAGTAATATACCCCAGTGTGTGTGTGTGTGTGTGTGTGTGTGTGTGTGTGTGTGTGTGTGTGTGTATACACACCACATTTTCTTTTTTTTTTTTTATTTTTTTTTTAACATTTTTTTAACGTTTACTTATTTTGGGGACAGAAGTGGTATGAATGGGGGAGGGGGCAGAGAGAGAGGCAGCAGAATCGGGAAACAGGCTCAGGCTCGGAGCCATCAGCCCAGAGCCTGATCACGAAACTCTTTCCTGGGTGTGAGATCATGACCTGGCGCTGAAGTCGGACGCTTAACAGGCTTCGCCACCCGAAGCGCCAACAAACCACATTTTCTTTATCCATTCTTTCATCGATGGACATTTGGGCTCTTTCCATATTTTGGCTATTGTTGATAGTGCTGCTATAAAGATGGGGTGCATGTGTCCCTTCGAAACAGCATACCTGTATCCCGTGGATAAATACCTAGTAGTGCAATTTGGCTGGAGTGCGTGAGGGTAGTTCTGTTTTTAATTTTTTAAGGAACCTCCATACTGTTTTCCAGAGTGGCTGCACCAGTTGCATTCCCACCAGCAGTGCAAAAGAGATCCTCTTTCTCTGCATCCTCCCCAACATCTGTTGTTGCGTGAGTTGTTAGTGTTAGTCATTCTGACAGGTGTGAGATGATCTCTCATTGTGGTTTTGATTTGTATTTCCCTGATGATGAGTGATGTGGAGCATTTTTTCATGTGTCAGTTGGCCATCTGGATGTCTTTGGAGAAGTGTCTATTCGTGTCTTTTGCCCATTTATTCACTGGATTATTAGATTCTTTTCATTACATCTTATCGGGAGGCATAGGACTTGATTTGTTCTATTTCTGATATTCATATTGATGATTTATGGTAGTGTTTGATAATTGTCTCCACCATAAAGTTATTCTCTTCTTAATAAGTATTTAGTGGAAAGAGATTTTGAAACTATGTAAATATCCTATTCCTCATGTTCCTACCTTCCTTCAATCTATTTATCAGTCATTTCGTTGTGGATTTATGGTTTCATGTTTTGTTCAATGGGATTATAATCTATTAACATTGCCACTTAATTTGTTGCTTAAATTATCCCTGGTCTGGTCGATGGGGTCTCTATCACTTTGACTTCTGTGTCTTTTTCATGTTCTCACCAGTTGTTGATGGTTTCTTACCTTCTGGCATAGATTAGCTACTCTTGGTTCATATTTTACTTTGCCTGCTCCAATCCTGGAATCAGCCATTTCTCCTGTGAACTCTGATTCTTTCTAGTGGAGAAAGGTGTTTAAGAGCCAAGTTCTGGGTGCTTTGTGTGCTTCTTGCTATCTGGGTGTCTGAATCTCTCTATTGAAATATGTCTCCATTGGTCTCTTGAGTTCTGTTCCACAGGATTCATTCTAGTTTTCCCCTTTCCCTGTTTAACTTTTTCTGGCAGTGACAAACCTGGCTCCCAATATTCTTAATATATATGCGTAGGTGATTATTCTCCAAGTGTGTGACCAATCATCATTGTAGCTGCTGTCTTCTCCTTCTCTTCCTTCCTGCCCAACCTCCGTGCCTTCCTTACCACACCTGGACTCTCCATCTGCCACCAGGTTGTTTGGCCATGTGGAAGCTTCTGTCATCCCTGCATGGAGTCACTCCAGCCACATCCCACTTCTGCTCTGATTGTGGTGCCCTTCTTTGAGCCAGATCTTCTCCTTCCCTTCAGTCTGTGTCAGTACAGAACTGTTTAAGGCAAGACACAGTTCTTAAATGCTCTTAAGAGCCCTAGTAGATTTTAGCTGAAAGACCAGACCTCTTGGCTCATTCAGAGAAATCCTACAACTGTTGATTTGTTCAACCTTAACCTGGGAGGAAAGGAGATGCTGAGTTTTGGTGTTTCTTTTTTCCCTGTAGGTTCTTCACCCAAGTCCCATATCACATCTACATTGTCTCTTTCTGGTTACTAGTGTTTATAGGGGGCTGAGGGGAAAAAACAACAACAACAAAAACACCTGAGCCTCGTGGGTTCCCAGCTAGTTTGGGCAGGTTCCATGGGAATATGTACTCCTGGAGATGTTGGTTCCCAGACATAAGATATGGGGCCCAGGTAATTTACTGGAAAAACAGAATAAGGGCACCACTTCCTCTTTCTATCTTAAACAAGAAAGGGGCTCAGAAAAAGTTACCTTGATTCCACAAGTAGATAGATACCTTTCTCCTCTTCTCCGTAGCTTGATTTTCCCATTGCAAATTGTTATCCTTTGTCTTTTTTCTTTTGAGGGGCCGGGAGGACTAGATTCCATTCTAGTTAAGAGTGGGGTACTGGTAGAGCTAGTGGCTGTGAAGAGATGGGGGAGGGATGATGTACTTGGAGTTTCCCAGCAGGCTTAGCCACAGGGTTTTCTTTCAGGAGCTCTTGTCACGCCCATAGGATTAGCAGTAGTTCCTGACTGCTGGGCTCCAAGGTGGAGGAGAGGACAGGACAGCTGCAAATCTGGCTGCAGGGGACAGATTGTTTAAAAATATATTTGCTACCTTGATATGATAGAATGTTAATGTTATAACTTGTACTAGAAATGTATCTATGCATGTTACATTTAGAAAGTAATTTTCCTGGTGCCATTTTTCTCCAATCTGTGATGCTGTTGCATGTGTCATTAATTTTTAAAAATTGTTTTTGATAGCTACCACAATGTTTGAAGCTGGAAAGGACAAAGGTAATCCAGATGAATTTGCTGTGGCACTTGACGAAACTCTTGGAGACTTTGCGTTCCCAGATGAATTTCTCTTTGATGTTTGGGGAGCCATCGGTGATGTGAAACGAGAATGATTATGATGTGGATGATCCATCTCTGGAGAAATGAACCATTCTTCCTTTTTTGAAATCCCATAAGATCTGTTTTTAGACACTGTTACGGACTCTGGTTTGGTCTTATGTGTATGAAATACCTTCTTTGAAATATAATTTTGGTTTCTGGGTATCTTCTAATGCAGTTTCATATGTGCTATTCTTAAGATAAATTACCTAAAATATCAATTTAAATATTCATTCAAGAGTCTTTTTAAAGTAAGTTTTAGGGAGTATTTCTAGAGAGATGATTTTGCTCCACATTAACCCATGTTTTCTTTTCCACATAGAAGTCATTGGTTGCAATAGGTCTGTAGCTCATTTTCAATATCTTAATGCAGTGAAACTAGGATTAGAGTTTGATTTGTCTTGTAGCATCTTCATTTTGTTATACCAGCCTGAGCAGGATATGTTCAGGAAGCAAAGTGTGAATTATGCCACCTATAGGTCTAGAAGCATTGTTTCTTTAATCCACTGAGTAAGAGGGAGGAAGGTTTCTATAGTCTCTTGATGTCTATAGCCTACTTTCTCTCTTCATAAAACAAGGATTGATTGACTTGCTTTTTGCTTCTTTGTAATTACTTCTTTTTAAAAACTTGTGAAATCTGTTGTGCTATGTGTTTGCTTGTGTGGAAGAAAGGTGGAAAAGGCAGATAGAGTAGAAACCACTTATATTTGATTTTTTTTTTAAAGCAATTCTTTAACCATTATTTCTTTTTCCACTCATACCCACGTTTATGTTACCTTTTATAAGCACTCCAGGGAAGGTTTTTTATAGTCCTTGTGGAACTTTTCTTTTGAAAGATATTTACTCAGAAAATAACTATGTTTGAGAACATTTTTTTTTGGGTGAAAGAGCAATGCTTTTAAGCCCCCTAAACTTTAGAGGAGATAGCATCAGAAATCGATTTCCCCCGGTGGAAATAAAGGAGGACCAGAGGAATTGAGAAAATATATTAGCCTATTATTTTAGAGTTCTAACATACTTTCTCTAAAACCTTACATTATTGAGAAAATTGAGGGCAAATGACTGTCTTATCACTCTTATTTGACATGTTATAGATGTAGGAGAAATGGAAATGAATGGTTTCAACATAGATCATTTAATAAGGCAGAGCATGGTGTGACCAAGCATTCTTCTAAAGTGTTGTATGGAAGATGCTGTGTGCTGCCATGGTAATCAGAAATAATAACCCGTGAGGGCTGTGTTCCAGGAAATCAGAAGTAGTTCCCTTTTCGTGCTGAGTTAATGCTAAGATAACTATTGATTTCTGGTACAACTTTACCCGTACAGACATCCACTCCTCTTTCACATAAATCTAATGCTATGAAGCTGATATTCTTTGTCTCATTAATCTGAGACCTGTACAGAAGCCCGGTTTTACTCATTAATGTGTAACAAAAGTAGGTTATAGAATGTGGTTTGTCTTATTGTACTTGTCCATCATTTGAAAATAGGACCCACCTCAGGATGTAATTTGTTGTTACTTGTTCATTGGATTTCTTTTGGAGCTCCCCAAGTATCTATTAATTATTAACACCATCTGTCTTAGAAGGACACACAAAGAAAGAGTTGATATTTTTCTTTCTTTCTTTCTTTCTTTCTTTCTTTCTTTCTTTCTTTCTTTCTTTCTTTCTTTCTTTCTTTCTTTTTCTTTTTAGAGCATGTGTATATGCGTGTGCACAGGGGAGGAGTAGAGGGAGAGAGAGAATCTTTAGCAGGCTCCATGCCCAGTGAGAGCCCAACATGGGGCTCCATCTCAAGATTGTGAGATCATGACCCGAGCTGAAATCAAGAGTTGGGTGCTTAACAAACTGAGCCACCCAGGCACCCCAAGAGTTGATATTTTTAGAGATGAAAACATTGAGGCCCATGGAAACATTTTAAACAAAAAAATTCTTGTCACTAGATGTTAGATCTGAAATGATAAGTCATTATGATCGATGTCCGTTTCTCCTTTTTTTGGGGATGCAGGAAGATTGATTCCCTGTGATTTATGGAATCTCATATTCACAAAGTGGGTTATACTCACCATGATTTTTCTAGAATTTTGATATGTAAGATACCAGGGTCCATGTACAGCTGTAACTCCACTTGTCTGTTGGCGTTAAATGGCAGTTACTATTTAGGGCTTCAGCTGTGCACAGGTACTTTAATACTAGTAAGTTTTTCCTTGAAATGTCTTTCTCTCTCACCTCTATCGCTAAGCTGATAACAGGGTCAGTTTCTTTGTCATTATGTTCCCTTACATGAAGATATATCTGTTTGTGAACTTGGTGACTTTCGGTAACTCTCCGTGAACAAAAAGAACAGCGTCTCTTTTTAGATGTCATGGTCTGCAGTTTGGGCTACCCTCCTGCTACAGTGAGACCAATCTTCCCCCCAGCCCCCTCACTAAGCATGCTATTTCATTGGTCCCTCTGAACATTTCCAGAAACCTCTGTCATCATCTTTTGTTCTGTAGGGGTTCCCTGCCCGGTGGAGAAGGGTATTTAATTCTTGATTTTCTTCCATGCAAAACAGCATCTTTCAGTGGCTACTAAGAGCACATGTTTTCTTTGTGGCAGGGAATACATGTGATGACTGAACGTTGGGCTAGATGGAGCCTCGAACATAGCTTGGTCCTGATCAAGCGTATAAATTCTGATGATTACAAATAGGTACATTTTGGGTTTCTGTGATGTTTCATAAATATAATTATGTGAAACTCTTTAAGAATTCAGTTATAAAAGCAGTAATCAGTTAACCTCTGTTTGGGGCTGCCGTATCCAATATTGTAATGTGAACAGATGATTAAATAGAGATAATTTTGCCAAATGATTAATTTGCTATATTTCCTCCTATAACTTTAACAAATAGACATTTTCTAAGTACAGCACATTTTCTTTAGGTCCATGTTATTGCTAGACCTTCATCAAGTTGAGAGAGAGCCTTCCTGGCATTCTTCAGTTACCATTGCCTATCTGGCAGAGTAGCAAAATGAATTTCATCTGCAAATAGGTTTCAAAATAATGGTTCTTTTAAACAGAGCATAGTTATCCGCCATATGAAAGTTGGATCGTATAATGACCCTCTCACCCTCTGATACCTCTAAAAATATATGGGTACTAATAGCATTGCTATTATTCTGGTGGAAGTAATAGGTTAGAAGGACAGTGGGGGTTTTACCCAAGCTAGAAGTGAATAAAGAGATAGGAGATGCTGTTCAGCTTATAGTGCCAAGAATTAGTGCTCTGGGTAAAATGCACATTTATTATCTTCTTGACACCGATTGAAAGGGACATCAGAGTAATTACAAGTCCTAACACATGTTATGGTTATAAAATGTTTCTAAGATTGTGAAGTGTACAAATGGCACAGCCTGTCCCTACCTATTACCTGAAAACTAGTTCTAAGAAATGACTCTAGGTTATTATCTGCCAGGAGGATTGAAAGTTGAATATGACATCTTGAATTTCAGACATTAAGCCTCTGTAAAACTTCAGTATAGCCATAGATACTTTTTAAAGCAGTAACAAAAAGAAATTTAAAAGATTTTCTGGTAGATTGTTTTAAGTATACATCTTATATTTTGAATACATCTTATATTATTTGCTGTGCAGTAAGTAGTAGTGACTATATACAAGTAAAATATTCTACAGTTTTGGGAAAAGGAAAGCTTTTCTCTTTTATAAAAATCATAACATATTCTTTAAAATGTTTTTTTGAGATTGAATTTTGGGAATCTGTTATGTGAAATCGTAATGTATTTTGATATTGTTTAAAAATGTGTTTACTGTATTTCTACTCATAGCTGTATAAATGTTCATGCACTGATCAAAGTAAATTATTGTAAAGCTATAATTTATAATCTTTCTTATATTTAAAATATGACTCCTTAAAATAAACTTTTCATGAAAAAATGTTTTTATCATAAAAATTTGGGGTTTTAAATGTTAGGCTTTTTGAATGATTCAGGGGATAACACGTGTAATTGTTTAGGTCTTTATGTTTTGAATACATCATTGGTATATTTTTTTTCTCAGTGTATTTTTTCCTCAATGAAAATCCCAAAATTATGTGGTTTGATTCAGTAAAAATACAAGAGATATGCACTGCCGGGGTACTCTAAGATAAAATAGTCATAATCTTTTTCTGTTTATTAGATGGAGGTTTACCCAGGGTGACATTTCTTATTCAACCAATTTTATGGCAGTAGTTTCCAAACAATAGTGTAAGTAGAAGAAATATCAGCTTATAACTCTTAGGTAGCTATGCCTTTTGGATTCATTATCTCCTTGATGCAGTTTGAAGGCCCTATCAGAGCTGTTAGAAATCCTTAAAAGTATGCTAATTTCATATGTTTGGGGTGGAGTCCAGGAATCTGCGTTTTGACCCATTCTCCAGATGGTTCCAATGGAAGTGAATCATGGACCTTTACTTTGAAGTCTCTGAAAGTCATGGACTAGCATTGGGTAGGAATGATAGATACGACTTCAAGAACTTACCATCTGTCAAGGTAAGCAGAGACCTAAAAGAGCTCTCAAATACAATTAGGTAAGTGCTAAAATGGATATAAAATAGTATGGGAAGAAGCTGTAGATGATAGTAAGATTTCTTTTAATTTCACCAAGTGGGTGATTTTCTAAATGTAACTTGGTATGCCAGAAGAATTTGTTCTTGGAGAAGGAGACTTCCCAATTGGTGCACTGTGGATTAACCCATGTGATAGTTTTGTCTCAGTTTACATGCAGTATTTGATACTTCCCATTGATACAAATAATATTGGCTATTTATCTTTCTCTTACTATGTATTTTATTCTCTTCTAGTTTTGTAGATGAGGATCCTCTTAGTGGTTTTTAGAGTGGAATTGACATGCATGATAAGATTGATCTCAATGGAAATAACTTCAGTGGGTACTGTAGTTTTAATTATGGAGAAGCTAAGCTTCTAAAAATGCTACTTGAACTCTTGTGTAGATTTTTCTCTTAGGTTCCTTCA